CTCCTAAAATAAAAATGAAAGGAAAATTTCTGATGGAGCAATTATATTTTAACTAAACAACAAACTTCTTCTTTTCGAAAACACCAAAACAATCAATTTTTCAATTTTATTGATTTTATCTGATGAATACGTGCTTATTTTTATTGTTATAATTTTTTTCGTTTTCTATAACTACTTAAAGTGATTTAATAACAATTTTTATGATATTTGTCATATACTTTATTGAAAATACAACGATAATTTAAATCAATATTTATAAATATATTTCATATTATTCATCATCAAACTGGTATATTATCCAATAATTTTATTTTAGAATTTAAAACACCTACACATGGATATAATTCTTATGATGTATCTATATCCAACTACTAATAATCGATATTATATTTACAACAATATATGTTAATTATGGATTATTCTATCTACTCCATTTAATGTATTTATGTTCAATACATACTTCAATTATTATTATATCATTATTTGTAAATTAGAATGATAATTATTTACCATATAAATCTTTGTTATGATGTGAATAAGTATAACCATGATATGATATTAAATATGTTCTATTATAATATAAATATATACCCATACCCAGTAGAATAACAACTCTAATAATTATTTTTCTACATAATGTCTCTAAATCCTATTCCAACCATAAAATTTGATCCACTTATCATTTAAAATGCAAATTATATTTTCCCAGTCTTTGGAATTGCTTATTCACAAAGACAATATTACGAATTACCATTATTATTAGTATCTGCTACAACTTTTCCACCTTCACTTAATTAACAATTAGTATGCTTATAAGTATTTGAAAATGATAATGATTTGTTATATAATTGAATCTAAAAATAATATAATAAATTGATTATAAATATACTTTTTCTAATTGGATTTTATTTAATTTTTCTTATTCTAACTTAAGTTTATTAATTTAATCTAGTTTGGTTAATGCTTCTTGTAATTCTGATTTTTTTAAATTTAAATTTTGATTAAATTCCTATTTAACTTTATTTTCTATACAATAATATCAAAATATATTTATTACATTCATCTTCGAATTTCTTCATCAGTATAGTCTTATCCTATTCAAATTACTTTTTATTATCTTAAATTCTTTATTCATGTTATTCTTTCATATTGTTATATTCTTATTCCTTTTATTCTAATTTATCATTTATCTCATTAAATTTCTACTTAAACGACTCTTACATAGAATTAACTAAATTATTTTCTATATAAAATGATATAGCATACTTTCAGTTTCTAAATTTTTATTAGATTCTTTTAATTTTATTAAATCGTTCTCCAACTATTTGATGCTACAATATTTTTTCAATTCTATGCTATGATTATCAAATGTATTTGCATATTCATTCAAAATATTCTATAATTTAGAATATTAGGACTTTAATTATTCTGATTTAATTGTTTGATCTTATTATTTAAGTTAAATATTTTAAAGGTTTTTTTCTATCCTCTAAACATGTTATTAATAAACTGTAATAGTCTAATCAAAAAGATTTAATTAGCATTGATATTTTTTAGCGTAATCAATTAATTCTTAAATTTCTTTAATAAAATTAATTTGGTTTTTGTAGTTTTCATCCTTCTAACCACATTTTTAAATTTCTTAGATCATTTCAGTTAGTTAAATGATTAAACTCTTTTCAACTATAATTAATTCAATAAATTTATACTTGAAATATCCTTTAGTATATCCAATGATGTTTAAATATCTTATTAATCATATTATTGCAAAGATTCTAAATGATTTTGAATTTCTTTCTTGAAAATTGAGTCTTTATTAATTTAATTTGATATTATTTGGCTTTATGATACTTTTTCTTTTTCCTTATCAATTAACTACTTTAAATCCTTCAATAATTATTCTTCACCTAATGCTTAAATAGAAATCTTTTTTATTTAATTTGATTATTGGATTTTATCGATGCTTAAGAATTATTCTGAAATCAATTTATCACTTATTTCATTCAATTTTTTATTGTAATTTTTCCTCATTAATGCTATTTAGTTAAATAATTCAGATTTTTTTTCTTTGCTTTCATTTTTATATTCCTTTAAAATCCTTTCAGTTTCAGTGTTATATTCCTTCCATTATTTATTCACATTTTCTATAGTTTAATACTTTGTATTTGGATTCTCAGAAATGCAATCAACGCATGCAAATCTATCTTCAATGTTCTTTTCTTAAGAATCCATGTCAATCATAATAATTTCTTTTTTATGATTACTACAAACTCTACTTAAACTTGGTGTTTTCTATTAATATAAACTATAAGATACTGAATCATTTTTTGTTATAAATTAAGGAATTAATTCAATTACATTATTTTCCATAATATCTTTAATT